GTTTTATTAAAACCTGACAATTTTCTGATTTTTGAAAAGAATTTTCAAGCCAATGTGTTTTTCACCGCAAAAAAGACGCCTAAATTTCCCATACTAATTTATGTCCACCCCCCACCCTTCGCTAACCAAATTTTCGGATGTTCTAAAAAGCATTTTAAAAAATGTTTACATAAAAAAAATTTCTTTGATTTTTCCTCTTAATAATAACACTAGGATTTATGGCAATAAAACTTTGTTTTTATTAAGTTTCGGGCAATTTTTATCATCTATTCTCATTTTTTGCGAATTTTTAATTTAATATCACCTGAGGTCACATTTAAGGTTTGTTGTTCTAATCGTGAGACTTGGATACACGAATAGAAAAACCATTTGTGTATATTCTTTCTCTTTTTTTTTCTTTTCGTTTCAGTTTTACTGTTAAAAATCAGGTTTTACTTTCTGTTTTATTGTTTAAGTTGTACATTTTATTTCGATTGTACATTTCTCTACCGTACACACCTTGTTACTCACTGACCAAAATATTGAGTTGAAATTGGGCACTGCTAAAATCATGCGCTCTTTCGACACATGAAAAAAAAAAGATCCCGACTGTTTTTAAAAATTTACCAACAGTGATGAAATTATCCGATTTCATTGAAACTTTCAGAATTTATTTATTAATGGATGAACTTTATATTTTTAAAATTATTTTTCAGCTCAGTTATATCTCTCCTCGTTTATTTAACTCGCGGCTGGTCCATTCTAGTTAATTTTTATATTTTTATAAAGCCAAATCGCCGAAGGTGTCATTACTGTCATTTTTATATCGACTGTAGACACATTGAAAATATCGTCCGAAATCTGAAGAAAGGAATTCAAAAAAACTAAAAAAAAAAAAAAAATATCGTTTGTGAAGAGTTGCTGATACCCAATTAATATAAGAAAAATTATAACCTCGAAAATTTTTATTTTTTTATCCGGTTCGTTTTTAGTGCCATTTTCAGTTTAAGGAAAACCTTGAACATGTTCCTTGAGATGATATTTTTTACCACAATAATTGTTGTTATAGTGTATCTCTTAAAATTTGGTTTTGTCATATAACAGACATATTCGATCCATAAATTACCAATGTCCAATAAGAATGGATGATTTTTATTACTGGGGCCATTTCTGGAATTGGTAAGGAGACAGCTATAGGCTCTTTAGGAGTCAAAGTAATCATGACTTGCATACATAAGAAAAAAAGAGCAATTGCTGAAGAAATTCGCCAAAAGACCGCAGTCTTGTGTCCGTCGTACAATTGGACTTTAGTGATTTGAATTTGGTTCGGAACTGTAGCCGGAAAGTAAGTATTCCGTCATTTTTATTTGTTTATTTGTCTATAACTTTAATTGTTGCCGATGAATTTCGGTTTTTCTTTTATAAGTTTTACGAATTAAATTTTTAAATATACAAGATTCATAAAGAAGTTACCCCACCTTCGCCACCAACAGCCTATTTCGAACCTGTGTGAAAAAATATTTATTTTGAAAGTGAAGTTATTTACTTCTCTTAGCAAAGTTTTGACACAAGCTTATAATTATGGAGGATTTCAGTAAGGATTGAATTAGTCAACTAAATCAGCACGCTTACAACCATTCATTAAACTACAAGATGTCTCCAAAAGTTAAACAAATTTTCATTTTTAAACTCAAAATAGATGCATGAAACCTTTTTTTTTTTTTGATGAAGTTGTGCACTTACGTAGTCGAACCTACGAGATGTTGGTGTGAATCAAAATATTTTAAAATTATAATCATTTTCACAACTGCTACGACAGCAAATCAGTGTTTTCTCATCTTCAACGACTTATATTATTTTTGTTTAATTGCCTATAACAGTGATTCTCAAAGTAAGTGATGAGAAGAAATGTGGGCATCCAGAAGGTGACACTGGCACATCTGAACCATAAACATGCACCACACACGCACAAATGCATCTTGCCTTCACTTTACACTACTACAGTTTATCCAGTGGTGGCATCCTACCGGTTCGGACCTGTTCGCGTGAACCGATTCTTAAAATTATAAAAGCTTAGCGAACCGGTTGTTGGATTTGAAGCGGAACCCCGAGCGGCCCCGTATCACACAAGGTTGAATGAGGTCACAAGAGGCCCGCTAACATTTTTGAAGACGTTCAATCTGACGGTGAAACAATATAGACGACAGAACGAGGATATATATGATATATGGAAATTTATTCTAGAAAAGAAAATAAGGTGGAGGGGCAGAAGTTCTAGTGCAGGCATTGATGGTCGAGATTGGTATTGGTCGTTGCCAGGATCATCGCAGTTGATTGTTGCCGGGATGATCGCTGTTGGTTGTTGCGGGGATGATCGCTGTTGGTTGGTGAAGTTGATTGTTGTTGTTGTTGGTTGCTGGCAGGATCATCGTTGTTGGTTGTTGAAGTTGATTGTTGCCGGGATGATCGCTGTTGGTTGTTGCAGTTGGTTGTTGGCAGGATCATCGCAGTTGATTGTTGCAGTTGATGTTGGTTGTTGTAGTTGGTCGTTGCCAGGTTGCCAACTTGACGTGTTGGGAAGGAAAGAAGAGCTGGCGTTGTTCGGGCATGTCACAGGTCCAGTGCAGGTGTTGCGTGTTTGCCGGTCGAGTCCGATATTAGTAACCTCCCGTATTAATTACTAACATAGTGTACGGGAAAGGTTAAGGACGACGTGCAGGCAGCCAGTAGGGACGGAATGCCGATAGTCGAACAGGGCCCAGGAATAGTAGGCGAAGGAGAGAGAGAAAGGAAAGTTCCCAACTATCGTCAAGTTGGCAGACAAAAAAAATGGGAGCGTAACTTAATACGCAGCCCGGTGATCGATGTTCCTGGCCGCGAAGGCCAGGGGCCTGGCCTGCGTATCCGACCGTTTCAGTTGCCGACCCCCCTTGAATTTAGTGAGAAGCCACTGTCTTGTGGTAAGGGAGACCAGCAATTAAAATTGGATAAGCTAACAGTAAAGTCTCTATAATAAAATACAACGAGATTAGCTAAAGGGAACTATGGCCTAAAAATGTCTAGCAGTATATTACAACTAGGTTTGTAATATAACTTAACTAAAAAGGGGACTTGCTAGTCTCTACCACGGGTTAACAGTGTATAGGGAGCACGAATGAGAGGTCAAGGTCGAAATGACCTGTTCCTCTGGCGGTTTAAGGATCGAAGGAGGAGGTAACTCCGACAGATTATCCGAAAATAATCTTATATATTAATAGCCGATGTATAATAGTGAAAAATATAATTAATAACATTGCTGTAAGTTCTGCGGAAAATGAAAGACGGTTTTCTCTGATGAACAATTTATTTGGACAAATCGCCTTGAATTTAAAAATGTGGCAAATCTTCCTAGTCATAAATTTGGTAAGTCTTCCGTTGGATCATTGGGACTGTAGCGATTCTGTTCGAATATGGCTAAGAAACTATAACAGAGCTGATGACACTAGAGTCCAAAAGCATCATACTTTTGAACAGAAATATGATGAAAGCAGAATTTCAATACGGAAATATCTTAATAAATAAATGTTTTCTATTAAATTATCAAAATAGTTTAATTCTTTTTGATACTATAAAGTGATTTGTTTCTATTTTCAGATTGTAAAGAATATAAACAGAATAGATTCCTAAAGATTACCTGCCTTTATAGAACCGGTTCCTTGAATTTTGGGATGCCATTATTGAGTATATCCCATTTATTATAACAATTATTATGGTAAATCCTAAGACTCGACATGCGATGCTAGAACCAAGAAAATCCAATCAAAGATTGACTATACATTGAGTGGGGGGGGGCATTAAGGTTGTGCCTATACATTGGGGGCACTAAGGTTGTGTTTTTATACGTAAGGGGGCGGCAACTCCCCAAAAGTTTGATGAACAGGGTTTATTAATCTTGATAGTTTTAACAACGAATTTAATTTTTAATAACAACATTTACAGGTTAAAATGTTCAAGATTCACTTTAGTTTAAAACAAAAAATCCAAGTATCTACTTTTATGCTTGCTACTTCCACCTTTTTTTTATCATTATTCTTATTTACTATGCTTGGCTTAGTTTTTGGCACAAACTCATAATTATGGGGTTTCAACTGAAGTTCAACTACACCTGTTTACTAACAAACAACCCATGAAGTCATGTTCTAAAAATGTAATTAATGTATAAATAAAATAAGGATGGATACTTTAAAAATGTGTTTCTATACTTAGATGCTAAATTCGTAACTTTGGTGTTAACACTATTTTTTTCAGGATGAGTTCAAAAATTGTTATTAAAATGTAGAAAAAATGTACGGAATTTTTAAATCCTCATTTTTATTTTATTATTTGTACTTCATTATAATGATGACAATCTATTTATTTTCTAAGATTGTAATATACTTTACATTCAATTCGATACAATATATTTTAAACAGAAAGTAAACTTTTTAAGAATGAAAAAAATGTTTCGACAGTATAAGTAACAAGTAAATTTCGGTTACTCATACAAACCGGTATCCATAACAAATATTTTCTTTGTTCATAAATCCTATTAGAATCAAAATAGTAAAGAATAAAGATTCTTTATCAATTGAAATTCAAATTATTTATTGAAACTCAATTTCAATAAGGAAAGCATTACGAAGAAGGATCCCGTTTTTTTTTTTTACTTTGTGTTTTAAACACGAACCTTCTTCTATGCACCGTGTCTGTTCAGGATGTGGACGATCAAGGCTTTCCACAATTTCTTGTCTTTTTTAATTGTTGATTGATTCGTTCTCTACGGAGAATCAACCGGTTACTTAAAACCAGAAAATATTTTTGGATTGTAAGAAATTTTTTGAAGATAGTTAGACTTACTAATTAACACATAGCTGGGGGAGGGGGTATATTTGTGCATAAGTAATTATGACGAACCCAACTGGAATTGGAACACGGTTCTCCGATTAACAATTCCGAGCAATTATCCATTATACCACCCACATTAGATTATAGCACTTAGGTATTACCAAGACAGTCACCCATTTAGTTACTGACCTGGCTCGACGTTGCTTAACTTCGGTGATCGTACGGGAACAGGTTTTCAACGTGATATGATTGTAAGCCTGTCTTTTCTGGCTTTTAGTAGTTTATCTATCTTTCCTAATCTCTTGTATAAAACTTTGCAAACTTTTGTCGCATTTGATCATTCGTAGTTTTCTTCTATGTGTCATTTCCGTTCAAGACTCTCCTCAACTTCCTCTCCTTTGTAGACCTTAGTAAGGTTTGTCATTTTGCTATCTATCCTAATTCTGGTTCTACCAACCATTTACCCAAGCTTGTTAAGTAGCTTATTCACTGTTTGCCTCTGTCTCTCTTACCTTCCATTCCTTTTTATTCATTATGTATCCTAGAAATGTCAATTGTCTCTTTCTGATTCTAAGTATAAATATCATTTTTGTTTCCATTTTCCTTAAAACGTCTTCGTTACTACCATATTCAGTCCATGGCACTCCCAGCATCCTTCTGTAGAACTATATTTCTGTTGTCTTAAGTCTCTTCTTCATCTGTAAAGAGATTGTTCAGCATTTATTGCCATATAGGAGGACCGATATTACATAACAATTCAGTGCTACTTTTTTGTTGTTTCTAAGAAAATATTCTGTTTCTGAATACTTTGCTTAGCTTTTGAAAAGCATATTTCACTCTCCTAATTCACGTTCGGATTTCAATGTCCCACTTTCTGTCCTCTATTAAAACACTTCCAAGATATTTTAATTTTTGAACTTGTTTGATTTTGGTAGCCCTAATTTGTAATTTGCATGTTAGGCTGTTCCTTTTCCTAACGCATTCTGTTTTCTTGCAATTGGTGTTTAGTCCTTTCTTTTTGCCATCCTTCACTACTTCCTGTAGGCGTTTCATTTCACTGTCTGCTTAACAGTATAAACACAAAAATCACTACCATTGCTTTGGACCCAGTCAAGCCCCTTTTTAAACGACTGGTGCGTGAAACTTTTTTTTCTTTTTGTTGTTGCTTTTTTAAGATATTTAATATTTTCTTTAAATAGGTCTTTTATGTTTATATTAGAATTGGGTTATTTCAAATAGCTCAATGAATTACAAAATTTATTGACGTAACGACAAGCATAACACGACGAAATGAAAACAGAAAATTAAAGGCTAAAAATCTAAGTAAAAATTTCCATATAATGTAAATACCGACATCATGGTTGGTGATAAGAAATTTGTGGAGAAATTCGTTTTGTGTGTGTGTGTGTGTGTGTGTGTGTGTGTGTGTGTGTGTGTGTGTTTTAAATAAAAGTTAAAGTGTGTTTGTGTGTGTGTGTGTGTGTTAGTTGTTGTGTTTTTTTAAATAAAAATGTGAACAGCCAAGACAATAAAAGAAGCCTTTTGTTATGAACAAAGGTGTCGTTTTTATTCACATTTACATTTGTCCGAAAACTTTGACGAACGTAGCTGGTATTGTAATGTAGCTGGTCCGGTCGAATGTATTGGTCAAATGAAAGCGTACTGGTCTGGTCGATTGGTCTGGCCCGATAAAACATTTTTGGTCTGGCCTGGTAAACAGGGCGGATCGACCGCGGAACGGGATCGCGCCAAAGTTTCACCAGGCGAAGACGGAGTCCCCTCATTTGAAAAACGTTCAACTATTTTTAAACCGCGGAAACGGGATCGCGCCGAAGAGTCATTTTTCGACAAAAGCACGATTATAAAGGTAGAACAATGTTTTACTTAAAGAAAAATGTCTCATTGGTTTACGCTTAAATAATAAATTTTTATGGTTGCCGATGTTTAGATAATGAATGCGTTTTAAATATTGATTTCTTTTGGCCTGTTGCACCTGTATATGTTGTCAAGGTCGGTACCATCAATCGGCGACCGCGATTTATCTATTTGAAAACGTTCGACCTTTCATTTTTCATTATAAAAAAAAAAATTCTCATTTTTAAAATATTTTTGATAATGAATGTCGCCACCAAAATCTAAAATCGACCTATTCATTGAAAAAAACTTATTTTTAACCGTCGCCACCAAAAATAAATAAATAAAATGAAAAATAAGATAATTCTAAGGTTATGTTAAACTTTTCGGGAATTATTCTGTAATAAAAAACAAAAATTATTTTTCAAGTAGAAATATTATGGGAAAATTAGCGACTCTCCATATGAGTCGTAACAGATGAACAAAGGACGAGACAAATGAACAATTTACAAAGCATACTTTTATATAAGTAATAATACATTATATATCAAGAAAGAGAAGACTTTAGCAGTTGATGTCATCAACATTCTACGCGCGCGCGAGTTTCCTCCCTTTCTTCCACACTCGCGTGTGCGCGCGCGTGTTCACACCCCTTTCTTCCTCTTTCAGTCGGACACAGTAGTAAACTGGTTTTTGTCGTCAGTCAAGCTACCTGCTATTCCTTCTTATGCAAATTAGATTTTTGAAATCTTCCCGCGAAATTTCTTTGACGCCACGGACAAACTGTTGGTTCAAAAAAGTCAGTTGTGATCCAAACTCGGACCTAAGCAGAGACTCATTTATCCCGGTCGATATTTAAGGTCGAGAGACGAGGGATATCTTACGATGCAAACACCAATAATTAATTCTTCGTCCCTTTTGGCTCGTCGCACAAATCCTTCTTCGAGGCGATGCAAACACCAATAATTAATTCTTCGCCCTTCTGGACTCGCCATAATTAACTTTTCATAGACGATGCGACCGACCGCAACTAGCTCTTCGTCCTTTTGGCTAGACGTCCACAGCATCCCGTTAAAATTCTCAACAGTTAATTCAAAGCCTGACCGAACTCTGAGACCCTACTTTGAACCTGAACACAAAAGAAAAAAACACAAAAAAATCACATACACTCTCAATTCACTGGACTCTAATCTGCTTTGAACCTGTACCTAAAAAAAATATACATAACATCTCACTCACACTAACAAAAACTCGCAGTGAGTATTTTTCCTTGTATGTATAATATTCTGGTAGAGTGACTTTTCTGGAACCTTCTTCTTCAAGAACTTTTCCCGCCTTTAGCCATCTTATTTTCTATTTTTGGCGCGGAACATTTTTCATTGATCCCTACCACGGGATATGTTACTTGTTTTCCTGTATTTAATAAAAACTACTCTTGTGTGAATCCAGTCTTTTTCTGTCATTCTGTACAGGCTATCTCGTTAATATTTTTTTTTATTCATTGCTTGTAGACTCGGTAGTTTAGTGTGGTGTCTGGCACAAGGCCACTTCGTAATAAACCAGCACTGCACCCTACCGAGCCTGCAACAAGTTTGGTGACCCGAGACGTGAATTGAACACGCAATAAATTTGGCAACCTTGCCAACATAATTCTGAGCAAGCTTAAATATAAACGTGCATAAATTCGATAGCCAGAATGACGTCTAGTGACTCTGAAGAGTTGGCGAACATGACCGCCGCTGTCGCTCCTTTTCCCCCCTTTCATGAAGGGAATATAAAGAACTGGTTCCTGCAAATGGAAGCTATTTTTACTGTCAGAAGAATTACAGACCAAAAAACAAAGTTTGGCCACGTGGTGGCGGTTTTGCCACCCGCCATTGTCGACGAAGTATCGGACTTTCTAGAAGCCGTCCCGGAGGTAGAACCGTACACCCGGTTGAAAGATGCTATCTTAAGAAGAATGGGTCGTACGGAGGAATCATTAATCCGTGAATTATTTAGCAACTTAACTTGCGATGGCAGGACTCCCTCACAACTTCTTCGTTATATGAAAAGCCGACTCGGTAAAAATACTATGGCTGACTCGATTTTGAAAAGCTTGTGGCTGGATCGCCTCCCCACCACCATTACCCAAATTTTGGCGCCTATGTCTGAGAACACCCCGATCGACCAGTTAGCGGACGCCGCTGATCGTATTTTCTCTCAACTGGATCATCAAACAACGCCAGTACACAGTGCTGAAGCGACTAGTGACCACAGGTCCTTAGAAAAAACAGTGGAAGATTTACAGCGCCAAGTTAGAGATTTAACATTAGCTCTAAAAAGCCATGGTCGAAGCCGGTTCCCTTCCCGCCGGCGCTTCAGGAGTCGACCACGCTCGTCCAGTCGAAACAGGGATGCCACTTCTATATGTTATTACCACCGCCGATTTGGGTCTGCAGCACATTACTGCACCAAGCCGTGTACCTATACTGCGGTCGCGGAAAACAAAACCGCCAGCGAGTAAAAGCGACTAATCTCGCTGGCAAGGCATTTTCACCGAAGCTTAGTCGCCTTTTCTACGTGACGGATACACGTAATAATTTACGTTTTTTGGTTGACACCGGCGCTGCCATTAGTGTATTACCCGTGCGTGATAAAGCACGTCAACAACCTTTTCAGCTCCGCCTACAAGCAGCAAATGGTTCCAGTATTAATACTTACGGTACGAAGTCCCTTACTCTAAACATAGTAATGCGACGAGACTTTACCTGGAATTTTACTGTTGCTGACGTCCAGATGCCGATATTAGGTGCCGATTTCCTGGCACACTATGATCTAGCCGTTCGAATGAACAACCATTCCCTAACAGACAACTTAACAAGACTGTGTGTTCTTGGTACTTACTCTAAACTTACCACCACTGGCATCACCTTGGCAACTTGCCACAATAAGGAGTACTTAGACTTATTGAATCAGTACCAGGACCTCCTGCGTCCTGCTGGATCTATTGATTCAACTAAACATCAAACGCAGCACTTTATTAAGACCACTGGTCAACCTGTTTTTGCCCGTCCTCGTCGTTTAGCACCTAACAAATTAAAATTCGCAAAGAAAGCTTTCGACGACATGCTACGAGAGGGTGTTATTCGTCCGTCCGACAGCCCCTACGCTTCCCCTCTTCATTTGGTACCTAAACCAGGAAAGGAAGACTATAGAATTTGTGTGGATTATAGAAGGTTGAATTCCATTACCGTCCGGGATCGCTATCCAATCCCCCATCTCCACGATTTCGCTTCTGGTTTACAAGGCGCAAAGATTTTTACTAAAATAGATCTTGCAAAAGCATATTATCAGGTGCCAGTAGCTGCTGCTGATGTCCCAAAAACTGCTGTTACTACACCCTTTGGTTTATTTGAAT